TATGTATATATATATATTTGTATATGTACAGCTTTATTTACAAAAAAAGCAGGAGTGTAATAGAATAACTCTGCTGTTAAACACTGCGAAAAACCATAAAAAGTGTCGGTTCTGAGCAGTGATCTGCTGAAGAGCTTTACTAAAAAACAGAATTTAGAAGAGTAAAAATATTTTTTCGGTTTCTTTTGGTTTTGGCTTTGTTTCAGAAAAAAAAGACATTTTTTTTCACTCCTCTGTTTAAGCTTTAGGTTTCAAATAATGCGTGATTAGATGCTGTTTAAGAATTGAGAAGGAAGGAGAAAATGTTTTAGAAATAGTTGGAGTTGTCTTGAGTCTTCCCGTGCCTTTCGTCCCACACCCCATTTTGGTTTCTTTACCTAATTCCTATTTGAACATTCTATTTTTGTTATTTTTTCTATTTTCAATTTTTTTTAACTTTTGTGAATCATTTGGCTCCTTCTTCCTCCTTTTTTTTCGTTATTTTTTGACTGTTTTGATTGCCAAAATCTGAAATTTTTTTGTGCTGTTTAATGCTACAGAAAAATATTTTTCTTAGTGCAGTTTAGTGAGCCAAACCAAAAGCAAAAATGGTATTTTGTTTAATCTATTTTTGATCAAATGATCGTCTCAGTTCTTCCTAATCGCATTTCTAATAGGGCGATCACTTTTAGTTGAGAAGAGGAAGCAATGGTTTGTTTTTTCCTTCTCTTACCTATTAATATTTTGCAATTTTTGCCTAATCGTATTCCCCAATTTTTCAATAGTACACTGAACTGGCCTTCATCTATTGCAGTCAAAAAAATAGCAAGTTCGTTTGTAGGAAGAAAACTGAAATATGAAAGAGCAAAAAAGTAAGGGTAACAGAGAAAAATAGCAGGAATGGGAGTAAGAAAAAAAGAATATGATAATGATGGAAATGAAAGACAGCAAATAGTTATAATAGAGACAGATTAAAGTTGAGAATTTGTTAAAAAAATGATTTATAAAAGTCTGATCAAAAAGTTCCCTTTTTCTTATGTGTTCTGAATCGAATGTATGTTAGCAATCTGTTAACAAAAATTACAGCGCAGAATATCTGACAACAAGGAAAAAGGAAAGTCAACAAAAAATTAGGCTTGTAGGAAACAAAGTAAAAAAACAGCAGTAATTTTAAAGATAAGTAACTCAGCTGGAAAACAGTGGTTTATATAATCAATCTAAATCTGATACGCGAAAGTGAATCGGAAGCTTTTCAGTTATAGGGGAGGGCCGAACACTAAGCAACAAAAGAAGTGTAGGAGAATGCCTCAATCGGTTTGTGCCGAGCAATTCAGATTTTCAATATCCGACTGGTGAAAACTGACTGAAAACCTTGGCTAAAATGTTCGCTGACGAACAAATTGTTGCAGGAAAAAATGTACGTTTCTTTCACTTTTGTTGATTCGGCAAGTTGGCGTCAAAAAAACTGTAAATGAGACGATAGTGTTGAGACCAAATTTGCCTAGTGGCGGCATGACTTAGCAAATTGCTTTTTGAACAGTAATCATCATTCCGCAGTTGCTTAGTCGGTAAAAAAACTTTCGCTCATCAGCTTACCAATTATTTCCAGTTTTAATATTACTTCTTCTGTTCCTGCCTAAGATGTGCAAAACTATAAGAAGCATTAAAAAAAAATCAAACCAATTCCTTAACTTAAATGTGTAAACTATTTTTGGATATACCAAATCTTTCTTTCCATATTCAAAGAAATAATTGGTCTTCGTATAAGACAACTGAATCTTAACTTTTATAACAAATCATCAAGAAATTTATTCCTGCCTTAAGCTGGAAAAAACAAAGGAACAACTTGACTAAAAACAACAAAGCCTGATATTAACGATACGCAATAATAAAACGGAGAGTCATATAATTACGCAATATACGCTCCTTATTCAATAGAGTTTTTCTGACAAATAAGTAGTAAATAAATAAACACATAAATTAAAAACCAAACAAAAAAATCTTTATTAAAAAAAAAAAA